AAAAAGAAATGTGTAAATGTGTGCCTGCTAATGAGAGAGGTCACATTGTGCACTCTGTGAAAAGGATAGATCTCATGTTAAGTGTTCTTACTACAATTGAAAAAGAAGAAGAGGGAGAGGGAGGGGGGAGGAAGGAAGGGAAAGGAAGAGAAGAAGTTGTTGACCTTGTGGTTTTGTTTAATGCAAAACCTTTAATGCAGCAGAATTTGTAAGCATTTGCTGAGAGGCTGTGGGGTAGCCACCTGTGCTCTTCTTGCAGAGACCTTTACACACTCATTTTTCGGTTAAATGCTTACTGAGCGCCCATGTAAGCCGGGAGTCTGCTAGACTCCGGATACCCTGTCTTTAATGCCTGGAAATTCTGCCTGGAGCTCTGACCCATCCAGCTGACTAATCTGCCAGGTGCATGCTGTGTGTTCCGGGATGTTTACTTCTTAGTGGATTTTATTTTTGGTTTTGATTTTTTGTTGTCCTTTTTTAATTAAATGCTGCAATACCTTACCGTAAACACAGTCTAGGAATTTTTATAAAGTGCTTCTGTTCTGGGCTCACTCACCTGTCGAGCTGTTTCTCTCATCGGACTACATAACTCTCCTCCCCGCCCTCTCATCAGACTATATACATCTCCTCTTGGGATGTTGAACACGTCCAATTTTCTGTTGGGTTCTTTTCTTCGCTGACCTTATTTGGGGATTAAAGGCAAATCATAACCTGATTCATACATACTAAAACATTTTATAAAAGCTTAGATAGACATCTATAGTTAGATTGATGTGAAAATTTTCTATCATTGTATCATGATAAAAGTGACCTGCCACTGATTCAGTGGCTTTATAAATGGAGTTCATTTCTCTCCCCTTTGCATACTAAGTTGTTTACTCTTCCTTAAATTTAAAATAGTTAATATTAAAGACTAACAAATTATAACCTCAAGGTAGTAAATAATAAGAGGGTCATCTTCTCCCTCATATTTCAAGAATATCTTTATTTCTTAAAGTCACTTGAAAAACAACTTCTTTGGGTTTTTTTTCCCCAATCCACCAGTGATTTGGGGGAGAAGATATCAAAATATATACTTTAATTCCCTAAAAGGAATACAATTAATTTTGTTAAAAATAATTCCCTGTGGCTCGGCGCCTGTGGCTCAAGTGGCTAAGGCGCCAGCCACATACACCTAAGGT